ATCTTAGTTGGATTAGTGGCCAATGTTCTCTTTTTCAGTGTGTGAGGTGCCAATCGTTTGAGTAAGTTTTCTTTTGGTTTTGTTGTATCTGTACTTTGTTTTTTGTTGTTGTTTTTTTTTGTTTTGTTTGTTTGGAAACTCGTTGGATGACTGTTTCATTGCCTGATGCATGCCTGAAAAGACTATTAAAGCAACCTCAAGAGACTTCAGAGTTTTGTGCTTGTTTTTGCCGCCTACTTTGCCACTGCCAAGAACGGCCTCACTACAAATGGTGTCAGAAGAGGGATTGGACGTCTCAGTGGGCTAATCACTGGCGGTAGACAAGGACAACTGGAAGTATCAGGATGGCTTCCAAAGCGCATGCTGTGCCTCAGCGAGTTACCAGGGCTCACCCAGTGCTGTTTTTAGAGGAGGAGGATACGGTGGATGCTGTCAACGCTGTAACTGATGAAGAAATGGAATTGGGCGCTGCTGCATATGAGGAGGCTATTTTAGACTCTTTCTCTCAGGCTGTAAATGTTCAAGAAATGGATACATTCTAAAAGACAATCTTTTGTACCTGGCAGACACAGAAAATCCCAGATTGGTTGTTCCCAGTAAACTCCATGAGATGATCTTACATTTGGGTCATACTATACCTTGGCCAGGGCACTTAGGTCAGCAGAAAACTTATGAGCGAATCAGCCAACGATTTTATTGGCCTAAGTTGTATCAGGATGTACAAGAGTATTGTAGAACCTGTTCTGAATGCTAGATGGTAGCTACTGTTCGCAAAGCAGACAGAAGTTACCTATAGCCTTTACCTATTATTGGTACCCCTTTTGATCGCATAGGCATGGACATAATTGGGCCATTAGTAAAGAGTAGCTCAGGTAACCAGTTTGCTTTGGTAATCTGTGATTATGCAACTAGGTACCCTAAAGTGTACCCTCTGTGATCTATACAGGTTAAAAACATAGTGAAGTGCTTGATTGATATGGATCCCTTTCCTTTTGTTTGCATACCGAGAAGTTCCCCAATGTTCAACTGGATTTTCTTCTTTTGAGTTGTTATATGGCAGGCAAGTTCGAGGCCCCATGGACATGCTCAAAGAGGGATGAACGGCTGAGGAACCAGCCCAGTGCACTGTTGCATCCTATATATTGCAGATGAGGGACAAACTGGAGAAATTCAGGAATATGGCACAAGGAAAACCTGCAGGTGGCCCAAAAGAAACAGAAGGTATGTTATGACAAACATGCCAGAGACTTACAACCTGGGCAAAATGTACTTGTACTGTTACCTTCAGGTACTTGCAAACTGCTAGCCAAGTGGCAAGGTCCCTATGTTGTTAATCGAAAACTGGGCCCTGTAACGTATGAGATTTGTGTCTTGAAAGGAAACGTCCTAAACAGATCCTACATGTCAATTTGCTGAGGGAGTTCAAAGACAGGATGCCTGAGTCCAAGGATCAAGTGACGATGATGGTGCAGGCCATGATGATTTAGTAGATGAGGTGGAAATGGAACCAGTCCGACCATCAGAGGAAGCTCCAAGCCTCTATTCACATCTGAGTAATCATCATCAACAACAACAGCTAGCGAAGGTACGTCAGTCTTTTTCATCGCTATTCCAAAAAAAACCAAGTCTGACTAAAGTTATCACCCATAGTATCATCTTGAAAGATCCTACCCCAATCCGACAGAAACCTTATAGAGTCCCTGAAAAGATGGTAGAGAAACTAAAGGCTGAGGTTAAGATGATGTTGGTGATGGGAATAGTAGAGCCCTCTCAGAGTGAATGGTCAAGTCCCATACTTCTGGTTCCTAAGAATGTTCCTTTTATTGTGCTCTGTTCTACATATTTTCTACATGTCAGAAACATGGCTTTTCATATCACTGCTATGCTGATGACACTCAACTCTACCTCTCATTACATCCTGATGATCCAACAATAGCTGCTCGCATCTCAGCATGTCTAACAGACCTTTCTTGTTGGATGACAGACCATCACTTTCAACTCAACCTGGTTAAGACAGAACTGCTTGTGGTTTCAACAAACCCATCATTTTATCAAAATTTCACCATCCAATTAGGCTGATCAACCTAATTGGAGTTGTGATTGATGATAAGCTGAATTTCTCAGACCACATTGCTAAAACTGCCCGGTCCTGCATATTTGCTTTATACAACATTAGGAAGATCAGGCCCTTTCTTTCAGAACATGCAACACAACTCCTTGTTCAAGCTTTATGGCAGAGTGGCCCGACGGAAGCCTCTCCTTAGTGCAAGACACATGAAAAAACACCTGAAGGACTCCAAGATGGTGAGAAATAAGATTCTCTGGTCTGATTGTTGATGATTTAGTAGATGAGGTGGAAATGGAACCAGTCCGACCATCAGAGGAAGCTCCAAGCCTCTATTCACATCTGAGTAATCATCATCAACAACAACAGCTAGCGAAGGTACGTCAGTCTTTTTCATCGCTATTCCAAAAAAAACCAAGTCTGACTAAAGTTATCACCCATAGTATCATCTTGAAAGATCCTACCCCAATCCGACAGAAACCTTATAGAGTCCCTGAAAAGATGGTAGAGAAACTAAAGGCTGAGGTTAAGATGATGTTGGTGATGGGAATAGTAGAGCCCTCTCAGAGTGAATGGTCAAGTCCCATACTTCTGGTTCCTAAGAATGTTCCTTTTATTGTGCTCTGTTCTACATATTTTCTACATGTCAGAAACATGGCTTTTCATATCACTGCTATGCTGATGACACTCAACTCTACCTCTCATTACATCCTGATGATCCAACAATAGCTGCTCGCATCTCAGCATGTCTAACAGACCTTTCTTGTTGGATGACAGACCATCACTTTCAACTCAACCTGGTTAAGACAGAACTGCTTGTGGTTTCAACAAACCCATCATTTTATCAAAATTTCACCATCCAATTAGGCTGATCAACCTAATTGGAGTTGTGATTGATGATAAGCTGAATTTCTCAGACCACATTGCTAAAACTGCCCGGTCCTGCATATTTGCTTTATACAACATTAGGAAGATCAGGCCCTTTCTTTCAGAACATGCAACACAACTCCTTGTTCAAGCTCTTGTTCTGTTCAGGCTGGACTATTGCAATGCTCTCTTGGCAGGTTTTCCAGCCACTTCTATAAAACCTCTACAATGAATTCAAAATGCAGCTGCAAGATTAATCTTTAATGAGCCGAAAAGAATTGCTACGTGTACTGCGTTAGGCTAACCGAGACTTGTCATTTGCACTTACAGTGGTGTGAAAAGGTTTTTGCCCCCTTCCTACCCCAAAGCGTGGCACAACCCGTTATTAGATTTAGGGGCAATTACTTTTTCACGTAGAGCCACGTAGGTTTGGACAGCTTTTTTCCCTTAATAAATGAAATCATCATTTAAAAACTGCATTTTGTATTTACTTGCATTATCTTTGTGTAATATTTAAATTTGTTTGATGATCTGAAACATTAAAATGTGACAAACATGCAAAAAAAAAAAGAAATCAGGAAGGGGTCCAACACTTTTTCACACCACTGTACATGCTCTTTTGTTAGTTTTGATTGCTTCTATTGTCCTCATTTGTAAGTCACTTTGGATAAAAGCGTCTGCTAAATAACTAAATGTAAATCTAAATATTTCGACCCATCATGATTCTTTATCATTTCTAATCCAGGCCACTACTGCAGTTAACTGAGCTGTCCAGTATTAATATTTTAGATTCGGTAAGCCTAGGTCTCCTTTGATAAAAGCAAGGTTCTAAATTTTATTTTTCTTCCATATGAATTTGCTAATTAATTTATGTAACATATTGAAATCCAAGATGGGTACACTTACTGGAAGAGATTGGAACAAAAAAAAGAAATCTGGGTAGTAAGTTAATTCTTATCACCTCAATTCTGCCCAGTAATGGGAGAGGGAGAATCTCCCATTTTATTACATCATTTGTTTTTATAGTTTGCCTCAAAAAGCTGGCTGGGATTGGGAGTATGAATAATTCCTAGGTATCTAAATCCTTGCTTTGACCAATGAAACGAGACCTGTTCATCCAACTGGGATGGCCAAACACCCGAAATCATCATTGCTTCAGATTTATTTTTGTTAATTTAATTTTATATCCCGAGACTAGTCCATATTCATGCACACACTAAGTGGGGGGATGGAATGAGATGGGTTTTCTATGAAGAACAATACATCTTCCACGAACCATACTATTTTATTAACTGATTTCCCTTCATCCTCTATTCCTTGAAATCCTGTTATTTTAATCATTTTAATTGTTTTATTATTAATCTATACAATACTCAGCAAAAATGAGTACACCCCCTCTGAAACTTAAATTCACCAATTACTCTTGAGAAAACAAGTCTGCTTGATCAATTACCAAAGAAGCATGTCAGACTTATTCAGGATTCAAAGTGATAAAATGTTGCAAAAATTAGTACAGCCTCCTGAAAGTTACAAAATAACTAAATAAAACTGTTCTGGTTGTAAATTAAAGGCAATTTTTGATTAACATGTATGTTGAACCAAAACATTCAAAGTTATCATTTCATATGTAATGTCTCATATGTAATGCTGACAACAACAGAACCACTTAGAAGGGCATAGAAATTTCAAAACAATGGACTTATGACAAGGTCCCTGAAAAAATCAGGCCAATTAAATCATTTTGGACCTAACAGCATCCAAACTGGCATGGTGTTGTAAGAGGAATTTAGTGAGAAGTATCTGGTTCCCACAGTGAAGTTCAGTAGTAGTGAAGTTCTTATACAGGGATGTATATGTGCTGAAGGCGTGGAGATGTGCTTCATCAATAGCGTCATCTTCATTTCCCTGTTGTTGGACTTTTTTTTTTTTTAACATGACAATCACTCTATATATATATATATATATATATATATATACAGTGGGTACGCACACACAGCTGGACTCAAATGAAGGTGTGGAACCATCTCAAGGATGATCAGAAGAAATGGACAGGACCTGAGTTAAATATATGAGTGTCACAGCAAAGGGTCTGAATACTTAGGACCATGTGATATTTCAGTTTTTCTTTTTTAATAAATCTGCAAAAATGTCAACAATTCTGTGTTTTTCTGTCAATATGGGGTGCTGTGTGTACTTTAATGAGGAAAAAAAATTAACAAATGATTTTAGCAAATGGCTGCAATATAACAAAGAGTGAAAAATTTAAGGGGGTCTGAATACTTTCCGTACCCACTGTATATATATATATATTCTCCCAAAGTGAAAAGCCTTCTGAGGAAAAGTATTTCACCTAACCTTAACACCCTTGAGCACCTGTAAGGGACTTTGTAGAGACAAGTTGAGCAACACAGAGCATTTAAGGAGGTTGTCCTCCAGGAGTTAAAAAGGATGGATGTGACAATTTGTCATGAACTTGTACACTCAATGTTAAGAAGGGTCAGAGAGTAGTATACTTAAAGTTATGGAGGATATATATAGTATTAGAATTAGTGCTGGGCAAAGATTGATCCTGATTAATTGCATCCAAAATAAAAGTTTTTGTGTACATGTGTACTTTGAATATTTATTATGTATATATAAATACACACACATGCATGTATATATTTAAGAAAAAATATATATTTTATATATGTAAAAGTCAGTGAAAGTGATTGTGTATAAATTATAATATATTAAATATAGATTATATTATTATATAATATATATTATAATTTATACACAATCACTTTCACTGACTTTTAAATTAAAGGGGTCATATGATGCGATTTCAATTTTTCCTTTCTCTTTGGAGTGTTACAAGTTCTTGGTGCATAAAGAAGATCTGTAAAGTTGCAAAGACTAAAGT